AAAAAAAAAAAAACCCTTATAGTGAAGTTATTATCAGGGACAACGAGATATCAGTAAGGAACTGTCGTCGTCATCGAATAAATGAATACAAATGAATAAAACGGGTATCGCAACAGAAAATGAAAACAAAAGAAAGAGAATATGATTCAGATGAGTGGTATTTGGCCTTCACGGCTGTTTAGTATTTGATTCAGTTCAACATACGTCGCGCTCCCTTTCAAAAAAATTCTGACCTGACTTTAAACAGAGACGTAACTGTCAAATCGCCTCTTAGTTGGCTATTAAGCGTTACGTTCTTCTCTACTTGAATGAGATGGCACGTTTTTCAATGTAGACGGGTGAGTAATAGGTGAGATTCTCGCCTCAAGCTAGATCACATTATGGGGAATCCCCTGAACAACTTATAGCTGATTATGTACATAACATAACTTGTTTTACGCTTACCTGAAAGGGTTTATAGTTTGACGGTTCTTGCTCGACTGCTTTTCGCAGGGATGTGCGCTTTATTTCATATTAATAGCATCGCGCACAATTTCTAAAAAATAGATAGCATCACCACAAACCCCCTACTTGACTCAGACAAGAATTATAGTCCGATAGAAGGTTTTATATGGGCGAGTTGCATTCTAGACCAGAAAAGCAGGCAAAAAAGGAAATATTGGTGGTCTAGGTTCTTGATTAGCTTAAATAATGTCAGAAAGCAAACACTGCTGCCGTGGGTAATGTAAAACGGATTCAAGGTGTCCAAAAAAAGAGCCTTAATTGCACGAGGATCTTACAAAGCCGCAATCGACAGTCGGACAGATCTCAAAACCATCAAGAATTGGAAGTCGAGAACTTTTAGTGCGGCAGTTGCAATTAGCCGATCAGAATACCTCACAGGGAAACGTATTACGAAGAATCGAATGAAACTTATCCAATATCTTGCTTGGTCTTAAGGAGAATAGACTTATCAGCTGACTTCTTTCCAGAAATTCTCAAATTTGACAACCCGAGCAGTCCGCTCAAACAAATACGATAGCACAGAAGGACATAGTTGTTATTCCCGAGACAAATTCCAAATGGAAGGCAGATTTAGGTGTATTGTGCAATTTAGAGGACCTAGATTTTAATAGAGCCATTTATCCGACCACATAAACAAATCTGTGACTGTTAGCACCTCAACTGCATATATTTCATAGCTATGTTTGGCGTGATACGTGTAACATAAATAGCGCGGGCTAATTAAAACCGTTTTTTTTTTAATATGCCAAGACAGAGCGAACCAGTTTCATAACGGCAAGGCAACGAATCAGATTGGATTCCACGGTATTTCTTTATGGTATTTCTTTGCTGGCTTGCTGGCTAAGTTCTTCTGAGTTATACACCTGAATGTCGAGTACAATGATAAGATTTTTTCTACTAAGATCTGCTCAGGACGAAACGACGCATAAACAGCCTTTGTATTTACCATCATACTTTGCCGCCCTCTTTCAAACTCTGAGGTACATGTGAGGAGTTTTCACTAACATTTTGAGCTGAAGAGGCCATCGACGTGCAAAATTAATCGCTGAGTATCGTGCTGAAGTGCTCACGAGCGCCGTTGTTCCATATGTCGCTCTCAAAGAAGTATCGCACGATGTTTTGTTTGTCTGCGTCACACCGGGGGTTAAATTTTCGTTACGTCATTTGTGCGCGACGTTATTACCCTTGTATTTGTTGCCAATCAAGCGTTTCGAAGCTTTGGGTTTATCAGCATAAATCAGGAGCAAGCCGCTGTTACCAAGAACAACTTGGAGCCGGGATCACCAGAGGACAGAGGAAGTCGAGGAAGACAGAAGAGAACTAAAACCAGCGACAAGAGTGGTAATCATACAGACATTGCAGGAGAATTTCAGCTCAAATTGTGATGACTAAACCGATGAATTTAATTGATAAGCGAAACTTCCGGAAAGGTTGATCTTGTTCGGAACAATGAATGCAAACCTGTGAGCATAACAGTGCCATTGCTTCACTGTCAGTAACGTTTTTAGGTTTGGGCATAAGACATAAAATATCTTGAGACTGTTTTTAATTAAAACAATTTTTCGCGAGGACGAGTACCAGGACAAGGGACGGGTGACGAGCCCAAAGAGCGTCTAGGAGATCGAACAGCTGGCGTTCCTGTTTTTAAAGTTCTTCGCCCTTGTTTTGTTTTGTTTTGTTTTGTTTTGTTTTGTTTTGTTTTGTTTTGTTTTGTTTTGTTTTGTTTTGTTTTGTTTTGTTTTGTTTTGTTTTGTTTTGTTTTGTTTTGTTTTGTTTTGTTTTGTTTTGTTTTGTTTTGTCTTGTTTTGTTTCGTTTTGTTTTTTGCGCAAGTGAGTTCCATATTTCTGGTAGATGGACCGATTCGTTAATAACATAGCTATGAACTAAGAATGGTGAAAAATAAAACCCAAAACTGTGTTCTTTCCGCCAGTGATCTTGCTCGTAGGTCGTAGGATGTAGAAACAATTCGTCGATCGCAATCTATACTTGCATGCAATTGCCAGCTATTTTCCTCAACTTTGCTAGTTACGTCAATCAGTTAGCTATGTTTCCATTTCCAGCGTTGTAAGCCAGATTAGACTAGAATTAAGTACGTTCTATAACGAGAACTTACCTGATCCTAGCAACACAGTAAGTTAATATTTGTTATTTCCATAGACATTGCAAAAAACCCTATAATATGACGTCATCATTCTTCAATTTTTTGGGGGTTAGGGTTAAACCTTTGAGCGTGTCCGGAATGCGCCTTCTACGTCAGTACTGTCGCAAAATCGTTTCTTTAATGTGACGTAAAGGCACTTATCAATGACGGAATCGAATCACGTCCCACATACCTATATATATACATATACAATAGTAAGTTCGAATTAAGTCGCATAGAATCTGGCAGGTTAAAACGATTCTGTTATAAGAGAATACACTATGGTTGTCGCAGCCGATTATAAGTCCACTTCTCAAATAGAATTCGTCAACAGACTAGACGAACGACTTGAATGCCCAATCTGCAAGAACGTTGTCATTGAACCCTGGCAGACATCGTGTGGGCATCGATTCTGTAGAAACTGTTTTGAAGGTCTCTTAAGGTAAGTCTCAAAATTTTTTACTCCCTTTAACGTCATCAATGTGTGCGGACAGAGATAGCAAGCCGGCTTTACATAATTATTACCGGTCCCGGTCGCCGGATCCCGGTAATACACTAATTAGTAATTTCAGTTGTTTCTGACGTTCTTCAGGCTGGGGAATCCCAAATGTCCAATCGATGGAGAACCGATTTCGCGAGAGGAATCCTTCCGGGACAAATGTTGTGAGAGAGAAGTACTTAATCTTCAGTGTTTCTGTCGATACAAGGAAAGAAGCTGTGATTGGAAGGGAGAACTCAGACACTTAAAGGTATTAAGGAACGATCAACCATAACATTTTGACGTAGTTGTATACTACGATTCCCAGTTAAAGTTACTTATTATAACGTCCTTTTAAGAGAACTTCCTACCCCGTTGCTATTAAAGAAACTATTGATAGGGCTTTATAAATCAACGTCAGAAAGCAAGCTTACTTATCAGTTGAGCTCGTTCGAGAACATTCGTGATCACTGGTTAAGATTTTTTTCAGCATATTTGAATGAAACTCAGCAAGCTGATGCAGACTTGGGGGCTTTAGGCTGGCTTAAAATAGTTATTTGAGGTAGGTTACGCAATGTCATTTGCTAATAAGCAGTGAAAAAGGCAGAAGGACGATTAAGAGCTAGAAATTCAAACTTTAGGGTTCACGTTTTAATTGCTCTGTGAAGGTGTATTTGCTTTCCGTTTGTGTGGTTATCAACTGGAGTTAACCACAACGGAATATTCGATATAGATTTATTCAGTTAGACTTTCTGAGAAGGCACGCAACGCTCCAGGGAGCATTGCGTGACTTCGGCCTGAGCATATGCGAAGTGAGACTGCGTTAAAGCAAAGAGATATATATATATATAGATTTGCAGAGAAATTCCTGTTAAAGACCGTGCTCGCTTAGCTTTACCAATCATATCTCTGCATGTCACGCCACTAGGC